TCGGAGCAGGTCGGTGGCACCGAGCTCTCCCGCAGGCCAGGCCTGTCGAGGGACGGTGAATCAAAGCCGTGCCGCCCGGTTGAAAACCTCGTCGCCGGGCAAACATGGCGGAGAAGGGCAAAGGCAAGGCCGACGAGCACCAGAAGCCCGAGGAGCACAAGAAGCCGGAGGATCACAAAAAGCCCGAGGAGCACAAAAAGGACGAAAAGGGCCCAGAGGCCGAGCATCCACCCGTGAAGGAAAAGTCACCGCAGCCCAAGGATGAGGTGGGCACCAGGAAGAAGTGGCGCCGCTATGTGTGGGAATTCAAAAACAGCAACAAAGAGTTCTGGGTCATGGGACACGGCGAGGTCAAGTTCCTGAGTCTGGTGAGCAGGGCTGGTGTCCAAGGGCACGGCGCCCGCGGCTGGTGACTGGGACCCCCGGGGGTGGGGGGTGGGGGGCTCCGAGGGGCTTCTTGGGAGGGTTTCGAACCTTTGGTCGTGTGTCTCCCCTGCAGGGCTGCCTGATAGCGGCGCTGGTCCTGTTTTCTGGGTTCAGCGTGCACCCTGTCCTGCCACTGGTCATCACCATGGAGCTGTCTGTCCTCATCTTCTTCATCTTGATGTACACCTTCGCCATCAACAGATACATGCCCTTCATACTGTGGCCCGTTTCAGTAAGTGGGGAGCAGGGGGCCAGGAAAGGCAGCCGAAGAGGACAAAATGCTGGCTGCCTCCTGCTTCCTAAATGAGTCTTGGCCCACGAGAAGCGGAGGACACACACACACAGAGAGAGAGAGGAAGGGACATAACACACCTGCGTTCCCTCCTGCTTCTGTGGTGGGTGCTGAGGGAGCGACTGGCAGCTGATTAGAAAGATAGCCCCAGAATTCTAAATCCCTCAGAAAATCAGGCACCCCACAAGTCAGTAAAATAAAAGGGGAATTTTTAAACGTCAACTGCTAAAACAGCCTCTGCTGTCTGGTGAAAGGACAGTGGGACAGATAGGAAGATTAATGTAACAGGCCATCAGTCATCTCTGCTGGGATGTTCCCACAGAATGAATGTAAAACACTAGATCCCATGTCTGAAGAGGTGCGAGCCTGCATCCCTGCCCATCACCTGTAGAACCACAGTGCTCTAACCCAGCTCTTGGCCAACTGAGGAAGTCTCCAAGGCTAATTCATAGCATAGCGCCAGGCACCTATGCTCACTGGCTGGTTCACTCCACACGGGATGAAATGGAGGCTCAGACTGGCCAAATCACTCAACTAATATGGCAGGAAAATCGTTCAAACTTGGCTTTCTCAGCAGAATCTGAGCCCTAGCTACACACTATCCTGGTTTCCTACTCAATCTGTTAGGGCTCAGGCGTCATAAATCTTGGTGGAATTATCGAGGAACCATTCCTTGAGTTTGAGTAGACTCATAGCTGACCTTTTAATGAGTTTTTAGAAGCTGTGAATTGCATGTAAAGGACCACCCATCTTTCTCCCTTGGAGCAGCTGGTGGATTCGAACCACTTGCCTTTGGATTAGCATCTCCTTATCCACTAGGTCATTAGAGTTCAAGTAAGGACCCACAGTACTAGGAGGAAAGGAAAAAAAGGTGGGTTCAAGATTCCTGGGAAATGGCAGGCTGAGCACAGGAAGTTGCCTGTAGGTGTTTCCTGTTTCCTCTTTCACCAAGGACCCGCCAACATAAGCAGCATTAATACCAAAACCATAAAGAAGGTGGCCCCGGTCATCAGTGAGAAATACACTCCACGCCCCTGGGTAATGAATTCCACATCAGTGAGCACATGTATGAAGAGAGCGCCCTTTTTCCCAGCAAGAAACTCCGGAGTTAGATCATTATCAAAATATCATCCCATTGGCTCCACTCATCCACCTCTAGGAACTCCTAGACATGAAGGCTTTTAGACTGAAAGTAGTAAAAATGAAAACTCCAAAATCAGTACAAAGGACAGACCCAAAGTGTCTATTTTCAGGAATTTTTTGTTGATTTATTTCCAGTGAAAAGTCAGAAAGATGTTCTTGTTCCTCGGGGGGGGGGAGGCTGTGTTCCCTATCCATCATCCGCTCCGCCCCCCCCCCCCCCGCTTCCCAAACTCGAAAAGTTAGATGAGAATTTAGGAGGCTGTAAGTTTATGTTAATGGTGGTGGAATCATGTGGAAAAGGATGGTGAGTATAACTGCACGTCAAGAATGTGACAATCTTCACTGGGCCGCGTATATATAAATTGTTAACTTGGTATAGGTTCTGTTGCTGTGCGCATTTTCACACACACAGCAGGGAGCCCTGGTGATATGGTCAAGCACTTAGCTACTCACAGAAAGGTTAGTGGTTTGAACACCACCAAGCGGCTCCACAGGAGAAAAACCTGGCAGTCTGTCCTGAAAAGTTGAAGGCCAAGAAATCCCTGTGAGGTAGTTCTTCTTTGTTGCCTGTAGTTAAAAAAAAAAAATCATCTAACCACAAAATTACTGTGGGCAGGCCACTGGGGGTTACAGGCTGAGCTCTGTTGAGGCTGACTCGGTTCTCCCATCTTCCAGGACCTTCTCAATGACCTGGTTGCCTTCTGTTTCCTCACGGGGATTGTGGTCTTCGCGGTGAGAAGTCGGCCCACAATGCACATGCACTACTTCGTAGCCATTGTGAGTTCTGTGGTGGGCCTTGTGTTTGCTCTAACCTCCGTGTTTGGAGAATGGGTGTGGTTTGCCCTGTTTCTGAGAAAAGGCTTCTTTTCTTCTCACTAACCCTTGGGACCAAGGCAAAGTTTGCAAGTAAAGAAAATTGACATCTCCCATAGGGAAGCCAGGTGTGGATGATGGCCTGGGAGGTGTCCACCTTACAGCTTCCAACCTTGAAATTGGGGGCCCCACTCTGCATAAAGAAAGGACAAACGATAAGAGGACAAGAAATGCTATTGGGGGATAACAAGGCTGGAGGTTGGGGCAGCCTCTCTTAGGGCTGACAGTTTGAGGGGACATCTTGTTACGTGCCATCCAGTCAACCATGACTCACAGTGACCCTGTGAACAGCAGATCCTTTACCATATCACAGTCTCCACCATGACCAATCCCAATGTTGCTGTCACTGGTCAGTTCATCTTGTTGAAGGTCTTCCTCTCTTTCGCGGACCCGCTACCTTTACAAGCATTTTTCTGGCTTCACCTAATAGCATGCCCCAACGTATAGAAAACAAAGGTTCATCACCCTTGCCTCCAGAGAGCACCTTGACGGCATTTCATCCAAGATCGGTTTGTCCTTCTGGTTTTCCTCAGAAAGGGATGTTGAGCTTGGAAAGGTGGAAGGTCAGCCCAAGAAAGGAAGACTCCCGGAAAGATGAATTGACACAGTGACTGCAGCAGTGGACTCCGGCGTACCTGAGATGATAAGGAAAGGACAGGATTCAAGTGGGTCACTGTGACTTGAACTAACGAGGACAACAGCTGATGAATTAGAAAGAAGGACAAGGACCTTGGAGTTTGCAATGAAAAGCAGAAGTAATGAAGATTCCTTTGTTTTCCAGGTCTTTTCTGGCCTGGCTGGAATATTTTTTCTCATCGATGTGTGCCTTCAAAAAAACCATTTCAAGGCCAGGAAAGCCAAGCCAACCAATCTGGTTCCTCCTCCACCAAAGGAAAAGCTCCCAGAAGAGACCAAGGGAAAAGAAACAGTGCCTGAGGCACACAAGGGAAAGGAGGCAGCAGCAGCAGCACCACCAGCACCACCAGCACCACAGGCCAAGGCAGAAGCGCCCAAGGGAAAAAAGAAGTAAATTGCCAGAAGGAAGAGCCTATGGTTAGAAATGGCAGTGTATTTTACACCAAAACATATTGCCTCTGTCCTCCTTGTCTTTCTATTCTTCTTGAATAACAGCCTTGGCTTAGAAAAGAAATCTCGCTTTAAATGGATTTGACGTAAAGATTGTTGTTGTTGTTATGTGCCATCGAGTCGTTTACGACTCATAGCAACCCTATGTACAACAACCCTAAACCCTGCTCTGTCCTGTGCCAATTGCACTGCCTCCGACACACCCATCCCGATCACCCCAGTCACTGAATCAATCCACCTCATAGAGGGCCTTCTCCTCCTGCGCTGTCCCTCCACTCTACCCAGCATGATGTCCCTCTCCAAAGACCTGTCTCTCCTTCCAAAGTATGTCAGACAAAGCCCCAGAATCCTTGCCTCCAAGGAGTAGCCTGGTTTAACCCTCTCCAGGATGAATCTGTTTGTTTTCTTGGAAGTCCATGGAACATTCAGTACTCTTCTCCAGCACTACAGCTCAAAGTCGTCAGTTCTCCTTCTATCCTCCCTAGTCATTGTCCAACTCTCTGATGCATAACAAGTGATTGCAAAGACCATGGCCTGTATCAGGGGGACCTTAGTCTCCGGAGAGACACCGTTGCTCTTGAGTACTTTAGAGAGGTTCCTAACCACAGACTTTCCCATCGCAATACGTTTTACTTTATTGATACTGAAACTTACAGTGCAGAGAGCACGTCCAGAGCTGGGTCTGGGATCTAGAGCTCTAGAACTGGTCCCAGCTCTGAGACTTAGAGAATCCATGGTGCAAGAGGGGCTGGGAGACCAGAAGTGTGTGGAGAAGCACCAGTTGTCAACACTGGCTGTCAAAAGGGAAATGAGAACCTGGAAAGCAAAATGCATTCACTTTATTTATTTTTTTTTACATATTTCTTAAGCCTCCAGGTAGTCGTTATGAGAAAAATAAGATAGTTGGCTTCTTTACTCACTTTTCCCCTCCTAAGTGTTATTTTGTTGTGGGAAATGTGCACATAAAACCTAAAATAATTCCACAGTTTTTACACATACAATTGGGTGACACTGATTACATTCTTCAAGTTGTACACTTATCCTTACTTTCCTCTTCATAGTTGTTTCTTCCTTACTGATACAAACTTAGTGCCTTCTGTTCTAGGAGAATATGAGTACAAAGACTGTAGGAGGCTTGTAGTCTAACCTCTATTAACTTTTCAAAGGCCCTCTCAGCAAGCCCCCAAGTACAGAACCAATTCCCATAAGGTCAGACGTGACCTCCACGCCTCTGCACCTTCTGCTGCTGATTCCAGCATCATCTTAGTTCTCTGCTACTGGGTCCAAAATCCATTGCGGTAGCCACACAGCTGTCATAGAACCATCCTTACAGTTATGGGCTTTCCTAGGGAAGTTAACAAGTTACAATTCAGGTTGGCAACCAGATACCTCAGTCAGGATAGCTTCTCAACACAGCTCACAGGTCCTTTATCCTCCAGACTAATGACTTGGGCCAGTTTTACAGAGTCCTGCCAACAGTGGTATATCCCCCAGTCCTCCGGTGAGCTTGGCCAATGGCCCCTGGATTCGGCTCTGTGGGGCAGCAGTCCCAGAACTCCCAATTCTGTCTCATGTTGGTACCTAGTTCTCTACGGAAGCAGTTGCAGCTCTTGGGTAAGTCCTGGTCTGACCAGCTCAGGCATCTTTGCTACATTCTCTGCTGCTGCTTCCTTGCTGGCAGTGAGAGTCTCGCCTTTACCTAATAAGCCTGCTCCATTTAAACTTGGTAGGATGGGGGAATTGACCAATCCTGTACTGAATAGTTTATACATACCCTGTTTCAGGTCCCCACACCGGTCAGGTGGTGAATGTCAAAGCCAACGGCTAGGAAAGTCTTTTGAACAATAAACCCATGATACCACAAAAAGACAGCCCAAGTTCAAGTGTGTTCTATAGAGATCCTTTGTTTGTTTTTTTTTTAGAGATCCCTTTGTTATGCTTTAAATAGAACAAAGACATCATTTCACAATGAGGGAAACCAGCAACATGATGCCAAAAGTCCACTCAATCACAGCCATGGCTTCCATTCACAGGGTTGGGAACTTGATCACCAGATGATAACTGGTAGTAGTTAGAGTTCATCGCTGTATCAAGCAAGTCTACAGAAACAAGCAAAGGATCGTGATTGAGATAGATATAAATATATCTATAGAGATAGAGATACATATATATACACACAGAGATACATATTTTTAAAAGTAATAGTGGAATTGTTTCTAGAATCTCCACCATGGTTCCTTGGAGGTCAGGGTATGGTTCATACTTAAACAGCCCTGGGTCATAGTCACCAGGACCCCAGCTTTTGAACTAGATACCATGCAGGCTGTTTTCCATAAATCATTAAGGACCCATGCAAGCAGTTCCCTGGCTCACCAAGCAAGCCCTGAGGGTTCACTGTTCCTTGGGTTCACTTCACCTGGACTTTCTGAACAGCCATATAGAGGGTTCAATGGTCAGAAGCTCAAAAGGGACATCTAAACTTATGTCAAGAGTCAAAAGGGACTTAGGAACCTCTAGAGACTTCAGCCTTCCAAACCAAGTGCTTCAGCACTGGCCTCAGCTGTAGTACAGCTTTAGCTCTAATACACCCCTAAGCTTCCTTGTTATTGTTATGTGCCATAGAGTTGCTTGCAATTCATAGCGACCCTATGTACAAGAGCTCTAAAGTCCGTTCTATCCTGTGCCATCCTTGCCATCTCAAACACACTCATTCCCACCACTCCAGTCACAGAATTGATCCATCTCATCGAAGGTCTTCCTAGCTAATCTTTTAAGGTATTCTATGTTGTTGTTATGTCAAGGCAGACATTCCTTAAGTTATACTATTGTTAATGCGTTTGAATTAAGGTGTTGAAGACCATTGAATATACCAGACTGTGAGAACAAATCTGTCTTGGGGAAAAGTACAGGCAGGGTGTTTCTGAGAAGTGAGGATAGCGACACTTTTTTGTCTCACACGCTTTGGATGGATTATCAAGAAGAGCCCGTCCCTAGACAGTGACATCACGAGATTCAGAAAAAAAATCCTCAGCAAGAAGAACTGAGTCCTTTCCAACCCGGTCTCAGCCCTGTGGCCCCTCAAAGGAGGGTGGTGAGAAGAAGGACCATTCTGGCATCAGTGAACTGGTGACTAGAGGTCGTCAACATTCACAAGCACATCCTGGAGCTTGGATTTCTGGATTTAGAAATATAAGCTCCCTGTTGTTCCACTAGAGGGAGCTAAATGTAGAGGAAAATTCTAAAATATGCCCTGTCCTGCCATCTGACGCCTCTGAGGCATTTGGCCAAAAATTATTAGGAAGTTCATAATAGGCTAAAAGCCAGAGACAGCTCCAATGTCCAAAACCAAAACCAACCCCACCGCCATCACATTGATTCTAACTCACAGTGACCCCCCCCCATTGGGATTCTTAAGGTTGTAAATATTTATAGGTGGAGAATATCATCTTTCTCCCTCTGAGGGGGGTAATAGATTCACATTGTCAACCATTAAGTTAACAGCCCAAAACACTTGCTACTAGGACTCCTTAGACGTCCAAAAGGAAATCTATTTTATCATAACACAAGATGGATTGACATAGTGACTGCAGCAATGGGATCCAGTATATCAAAGATGCGGAGAACAGCACAGGATATGGCAAGGTTCAGATCTGTTATTCATAGGGTGTCTATGAGTACTAGTCAATTTGACAGCACGTAACAACAGTTGTTGTTGTGTACCATCCAGTTGGAACCAACCCATAGTTGACCCCCCCAGGAGGTTTTCAGAGACAGTTATAATTGCATAGGAGAAGATTGCCCAACCTTCACTTGCAGAGCGGCTGGTGACCTCGAACCACATGCCTTTGGGATTGCAGCACAGCCTCTTGCCACTAGGCCACCAGAAATGCCTGACAACAATAGCAATAAAAATAAACTATTGAATCTAGGAATTTGCCACTAGACCACTAGAGATCCCCTGGAGAGGGTGAAGCCAGAATGTTCCCTGAAGTCAAAGATTCTGAAGCTTTGTCTGACATATTTTGGGCATGTTGCAAGGAGGGACTGGTCCTTGGAGAGGGACATCATGTTTGGCAGAGTGGAGGGGCGGCGAAGGAGAGGAAGACCTTTGATGAGATGGATCGATTCTGTGACTGGAGAGGTGGGAATAAGTGCATTTGAGATGGCTAGGTTGGCACAGGATAGAACAGTGTTTAGAGCTCTTGTACATAGGGTCGCTATGAGTCACAAGCGACTCAATGGCACATAACAACATTGAATCTAGAGCTTGTGCTTTTAATTGCTATATTCTGATGAACAAAAGATATATCATGGACTTTCATTATAACACTTTTAACATAACACTTTAAACCCATACGAAACAAAAACTCATAATTTGAAAGACAGAGTGATAAATCTAAAATCTTTGTAAGAAAGTGTAGACAGCATGAAGTCATCAGAGTCTGCCCTCTCCTAACTCCACAAAGGGGAACTGTCCCCATCAACAATCTCCACAATGCAAACCTAATTCCTATAAGTTCATACATGGCCTTCTATGCTCCTGAGCCTACTCCTACTAAGTACACGACCAGTCTTAGTGCTCTAGTAAGCCTGAAATGTGTTGCAATGACTACACAGACATCACAGGATTTTATTCACAGTTATGGGGTTTATTAAGGAAGTTAACAGGTTGGGATTCTCAATTTCTGTAGCTGAAGCCAATGGATTTAAAACTAGTGGGATGATGAAACTAGCCAATCCCCTTGTGGACAGACTAACACCTCCTATTGACGTGATCTTGCCCAACCGTGTAGCAAAATCAAAGTCAATGACTAGGAAAGCCATTTTGAACAACAGACCCTTGATACCTCAGACCCATGAGACCTTATAATCAGCTTTATCATATCAGTTTTAATAGTATATTAAGAACAGGACTATACAGAGAGTTTACAGTATACCATTAAT